ACTTGCTCTCATTGTCCCGGGACTTGATTCTGTACACTAAATGAAGGTTTGTTTTTCAAAACAGGCTCTCTCCATATAGCCCAGTCTGGCTTCAGAATGACTATGTAACAGAGGCTGGTCTTGAGTTCTGACCCTCCTATCTTTTTATTGCTGTGGTGTTGTTGTTCTTTAGGAAATGGGGTCTCACCATGTTGTTGAGACTGGCTCCTGCTCAAGTAATTCTCCTGTTTTGGTCTTCTGAGTGTTTGGGGCTATGGGCACCATTCCTATCACAATTGTTCCATTTTCTTTTGTATATATTGTAGACATTTATAGATAATTAACTCATCCCCGGCCTTAGTCATAATTTTTAAATGACTGACTTATTGATTTTAATGTTATAACTGTCACATCAGAAGTATTTATATGTACATATAAACAGTATATAAAGTACAGTTGACAGCCCTGGTTTCTATGTGATCACCTTTTTATAGTAATTAAATAAAAACAAAAGTCTATTCTAATTCCATCCTTTAGAACAAACGGCAAAGATGCTTAGTGATAGTTTGGGTTGTAATTGAGTTCTTTAAAAATACTTGTAGTTAGATTTCACGTGTGAAATTCTTTTCTATTTTCATTTGCTTTTCATGGAGACCCCCAACATCCTTTTTAAAAGGACAGAGCTGGGTATGATGGTTTGAGTCTGTAATCCCAACATTCAGGAGACAGAGACTGGAGGATTACTGCAAGTTGGAGCCTGCTTGGGCTTCATAGCAAGATACTGTCCGTCCGTCCGTTCTTTCTTTCTTTCTTTCTTTCTTTCTTTCTTTCTTTCTTTTTTCATTTTTTCTTTCTTTTTTCCTCCTTTCTTTTCTTTTAAGGTAGTGGGGAGGGAGGAGAGGAAAGAATGAACCAGTTTCTCACCTTTCAATAGGGATGTTTATAGCTAGGTAACTAGGTCACCAGAATGTACTCACATATCTGATTGCATAAATACCACTTAGAATAGAACCAAGTGTCTCACCATGCCACCCAAGGTCACTCCTTATTCTGTCATTTTAGCCCTGCTTTCCTAGACATTCATGGTTATGCCTTTACAGTCATGCCTGACTCTTCCCGGTGTAGTTCATGTCTCGATCACAACAGATTTTTTCAGTGTCTTCCTGAGCTCTTCCTTCTGGTTTCCCATTTCCACCACCTTGGTACTAGGGTTCATTACCCCTGGACCACAGCAGTCTAACTGATCTCCCTGAAGCTCTTCCCACTCATGATCTTGCTCACCACTCTCTGAAATCCCAATTACCCAGCTCCCAACTTGACCAGCAGATGCTGAAGAGCAGCAGTCAAAGTGGATGTTTTCAATGTTCTCTGTATAGATCCTGTCTGTATTGCCAACCTCTTGCTGGGAAGAATAGTTGCCCCCTTGCCTTTCCTCCAACCCAAGCCCAAACCCTCCTTTCTGTTCTTCCTGTTTTCCCAGATAGCATTGACTGGCTGAGCTAGCATTTCCACCCATCTGTGCTAACCCTGTGATGCCACTGTGTCATCATGTCCCTTTTCTCTATGTGCAGTAAGAAAATCATGCCCTTGATGAATAAGCAGTAAGTCTTAAAACACCCAGTACTCCCAGCTACCTTGATAGACACTAATGGACTAAGGAGTGAAGATGGACTTTGACATGACTGTTGCGGAATATTTAACTATGCAAAGATGTGTTGCATTTGTTTAATTACATAAAGATCTGTTGCTGTTTTACCTTGCCTTCCTCAGGCACCTGTTTGGTCTAATAAAAAGCTTAATGGCCAATAGCGAGGGAAGAGGTATAGGCAGGGAGAGTAAGTAGGAGGAAGAATTTAGGCTCAGGAGAAGAAATAAAAAGAGACACCAACCAGGGAGACGTCAGGGACCAACCAGTCAGACACAGAGGAAGCAGGGAAGGAGGACATACAGAATGAAAGAAAGGTAAAAAGCCCCAAGGCAAAATGTAGATGATTAGAAACAGGTTAAATTAAGTTAAAAGAGCTAGTGGGACAAGCCTAAGCAAAGGCTGAGCATTCAAAATTAATAATAAGTCTCCATGTTTATTCGGGAGCTGGTTGGCAGCCTTAAGACAATTCCAGCCACACATGACCCAAACCTGTGTTTGAGTTCAGTTTCTGCCTGGCTATATTTCTATTTCCTCATATAAAACAAGCAGGATTGTAACTCTTTTACGGAAGTTCTGAAAAGATCAAATAAGACAAATATGTGAAATGTGTTTTGTGTGACACCTGACCTGTAATAAATAGTAAATGACAATGATTCATATAGGGATTATGATCATGCCAACTGTTCAATTAATGTTTGCCAAGGCACCACGAGCTGCCAAGAATTTTATTTATCCCTTTTTATTGCTCTGATGATTACAAATATGGTATGATAACAGGATCAGAGTCTTGCGTGCATGCGGGGTTATAGGTGCATGTGTGTGCATATGGAGGCAGAGATCAACACTGAGTATCTTCTTTATTTGCTGTCCACCTCGTTTTTCTGAGACAGAAGTTTTCAGACTTGGTTACACTGACTGGCCAGTGAGCTCGGGGGTCTACCTGTCTCAGCTTCCACCCCTGCCCCATTGTTTCTTATAGCTATCTGTGATGGCTAGTATTATGTCACAAGCTAAAGTCATCTCACAGGAGGGAACCTCAATTAAGAAAATGCTTCCATAGATGGGGTAGATTGGACAAAAGGTTATACTCTGTGACACACTGATCCCAATGCCACAAGGATTAATGAAGAGGTGTTGGAGAGGAGGGAAAGAAGGAGAAATGAAGAGGGTTTGTTTTTGTTTGTTTGCTTGCTTTGTCTTGCTTAGTCTTGATTTTTTAGGATTTTCTTTTTCGGGGCACTGTAGGGGTAAGGGGAGGATATGAGGGGACCAGGAGGTGAGTGGAATTAGGGTGCATGATGTGAAATTCCCAAAGAATCAATAAAGAAATGTTTTTTTTAAAAATGCCTCCATAAGATCCAGGCTGTCTGCAAACCTATAAGGCATTTTCTTAATTAGTGATTGATGGAGGGCCTGGCCCATTGTGGGTGGGCCATCCCCAGGCAGCGGGTCCTGGTTTCCATATAAAGCAGGTTTGTGAGCCACAAGGAGCAAGCCAGTAAGTGGTATCCCTCCATGGTCTCTGCATCAGCTCCTGCCTCCAGGTTCCTGCCCTGTTTTATTTCCTGTCCTGACTTCCTTCAGTGATGGACTGTCACCTGGAAGTGTAAGCTAAAATAAACCCTTTTCTCCCCAAGTTGCTTTTTTCATAGTGTTTCATCACAACAATAGCAACTCTAACTAAGACAGTATCAATAAGCTATAGGGAACTTCAATATAGGATATTTGATTGTTTCACTGTTTAGAATAATGAATCACTTCAGGAAATATAGATGTTACTTTCATTTCAAGAAGATACTTCCTCCTCTTATTCCCTCCTCCTCCACCCCTCTTCCTTCTTTGTTGCGGTTCTGGGTTTCAAACCCAGGGCTTCATACACAGTATACAACAAAAAACATTTTTACAGCACAAAATACTGTGTTCTCATACAAAGAGAGTAAATTCTGAAACTAAAAATACATCAGATGAGAGATTTAAGAAAAATGAGCCTTTTACATCTCATATCAAGCCCTCTGTCATTTGGCTCCATGGTGGCACACACTTATAATCCTAGCAGGCTTAAGCAGAATTGTCGTGAGTGTGAGGTCAGCCTGGCCTACACAATGAGATCTGTCTCAAATAAAACAGCAACAACAAAACTATCTTTTCATTTAAATATAAGTTAATCTACTCCAGAAATTGAGATAGCTTAGAAGAAAAGTGAAACTTAAATTACTTTAAAATTTAGAGAGGAACTAAATGTTATAAAAACTTGCATCTTGTGGCTGAGGAAATGGCTCAGTGGGTAAAGTGCTCACCATGCAGCATGAAGACCTGAGTTTGGGTCCCTAGAATCACATTTAAAGGGTGTGGTGATACATATGTGTATCTCAGAGCTGGGAGTATGTGGAGACAGACTGACTAGACAGTAATTCTAGCCAAATTGGTGAATGCCAGGTTTAGTGAGAAACCCTATCTCAAAAAATAAGATATAGAGTGATGAAGAGCGTGGGGCTGGAGAGATGGCTCAGAGGTTAAGAGCACTGGCTCTTCTTCCGGAGGTCCTGAGTTCAATTCCCAGCAGCCACATGGTGGCTCACAACCATCTATAGTAGGATCTAATGCTCTCTTCTGTCATAAAGGCGTGCATGCAAGCACTCATATACATAAATAAGTAAATAAATCTAAAAAAAAAAATAGAGTGATGGAGGGAAACAACTGATATTGGCATGTCCACATAAAACACACACATATGTGCATGTGCGCATGTGTGTGCTTGCACACATTTCTGGTAGTAGAGTATCAGAATGTTTGTTATAACAGGAACATTAAATCCTATTAAAGATTTCCTTGGGCCAGGCGTTGGTGGCGCACACCTTTAATCCCAGCACTGGGGAGACAGAGCAGAGGCAGGCAGATCTCTGTGAGTTCGAGGCCAGCCTGGTCTCCAGAGCCAGTACCAGGATAGGCTCCAAAGCTACACAGAGAAACCCTGTCTCGAAAAACCAAAATAAATAAACAAAATAAATAAAATAAATAAATAAATAAATAAAAGATTTCCCTGTTCTGAAGTTAACAAAAGGCAGTAGATTTATCGTTAGAAGACAGGCCCCATATCAGCCCACAGACAGTCATGCACTGGGATGTTCTGAGGACATGACCAATGCAGCCATTTCCCAAAGGTGCTGACTTGTCCCACAGCCAGACACAGGAGGTGCAGGGCGGCACTTAGCACTAGGAGGAACATCCGACACTAACCGAGTCTGTTTGACATGGATCACTTTGTATTCTTTGATCTAGGATGTGAGATGGAGTGCCCAGCCACATGGGCTCTGCCTTCCCTACTTGTCAACCATGTTTTGCTGTCTTTTTTTTTTTTTTTTTTTCTTAACAGGGACCACATGCAGTGGTCTAAAGAAGAAGAAGCAGCAGCTAGAAAAAAAGTAGAGGAAAACTCAACCACACGAGTTGCTCCAGAAGAACAAGGTAAAACTGGGCTCCCCACCGTGTCTCTGCATTTGAGAGCTCTCAGTTCATACCCCAGCCAGTCAACCCATTTGCTCCCTTTGGTGGGATTCCCAGTTCTTCCCTTGTTGTGGGACCAAAATTAATGAAATAAATTATGTATTCACCCTATAATTGGTCTTTTGGTAGTCATATTGCTTTTTCTGGGAGATATACATATGGGTAGCATTTTAAGCAAGATATGAAAATATAACTTTAAATTTTCCTTCTAGCTATGCCACTTTCAGTGTGTTATTGTGCATTTCACTTGCTAGAAACTTCTAACAAATTCATAAACTTTAAGTAAAACAAAAAAAATCCTATCAAAATATCACTAGCCTTTTAGGATAAGGGAGTGTGTGTGTGTGTGGGGGGGTGGTCAGAGGTTGATTTCAAGTGTCTTCCTCTTTCACTTTCCATCCTATTTTTTTGAGGCAAGATCTATCACTGACTCTGGAGCTCACTATTTCAGATAGACTGGCCAACAGTGAGCTCTGTCTCTACCCCCACTCCCAGCTCTGAAATCACAAAAACATGCTGCCACACCTGGAATCCTAACTTGGGTCCCCCTGCCTGTACAGCAAGCTGTTTCCCTTACTGAGCCACCTCCCTAGCCCAGGAGAAGGTTTTAGCAGGGATCAAAGCAGTTATATTGGGAGACTTTGTATTTTGAGTTTAATTCAGGGAAGGCCTTGACAACTTCATAAATAGCTTGTGAAGTTTGGCTTGGGCTACTGTTAAACTACTAGAAAGTGACAAGTGTTGAAAAGGATGTAGAGAAACAGGAGTCCTTATGTACATTTGATGTGAATGGTGCAGCCACTATGGAAACTGCTGTGAGGCTCATTAAAAATTAAAAATGGAGGGGCTGGAGAGATGGCTCAGCAGTTAAGAGTGATTGCCATACTGACTGCTCTTGCAGAGGACCCTGGTTCCATTCCCAGCACCCATAAGGCTGCTGGCAACTTCCTCTAACTCCAATACCAGGAGACTAACGCCCTCTCCTTACCTCCTTGGGCACCAGGCATGCATGTGGAGCACTTACATATACTCAGGCAAACACTCATACAAATAAAATAAAACTTTTTAAAGATTTAAAATAGTATTCCCCCATAATTCATCAATTCCCTTTTAAGTTATATCCCAAAAGATTCACAGCACACTCTTAAGAAGGTATGTGCATTGCATGTCTATTGCAGCAGTCTCCATGATAGGCAAAGGATAAACACAATCAAAACTCGAGTGTTTAAAACAAGCAATATTATTAAAGAATGTCTGTTCATAAGTTAATGAAAAGACAAGTAAGTTTAGCCTTAGAGGAAAGAACTGTGCCTTGCTAGTACCTGGGTAATAATGTAACAATGCCCAGATATTCTGGGAACATGGATTCGGCAGCCATTTCCCAGAGATGGCTGGGGCCCATGGCCACTGTAGATAAACGGGTAATAAAACATTCTACATGAGGGTGATGCCAAGGGCTGGTAGGTGGAAAGGAGGAGCTATGTAATGGGGTTAGAGTGAGAGTTGGCATTTGGGAAAAATTCTAGGTCTGTTTCACAATGTGAACACACCCGACACTGTGAGATCATGCACTAAGAATGGCTAAGATGCTCCATTTTGTGTGTTTTTAACCACAATGTTAAAAAATAGCACTCTGAGGCCAGGCAGTGGTGGTGCACACCTTTAATCCCAGCATTGAGGTAGAGACAGGTGAACCTCAGTTAGTTTGAGGCCAGCTTGGTCTACAAAGTAAGTTCCAGGACAGCTAGATCTGTTGTACAGAGAAACCCTGTTTTGAAATCCCCCTGCCCCAAATTAGTACACGAATAAAATGTTCAGAAGACAGTGGCCAGTGTCCCTAGTCACTCTGCCTGACTGCTGTACTCTCTATATGCCATCTTCTACCTGATTTTTCTTAAAATGATTTCGTCTTTGAAGCATCTTCTTCCTTCCCTCCTTTTGTTGTGTGTGTGTATGTTCATGTGTACACGGGTACATATGTGTGTGTACATGTATGTGGAGACCAGAGATCCACCAAGAGTGCTGTTCCTCAGAAGCTATTCACCTTTGCAGGGAGGGATCAGGCAGGGTTCTCTCTAGTCTAGGCCTCAGGAAGGAGGCTGGGCTGGCAGCCAGGGAGCCCCAGTGACCCACCTACCCCTGCTTCATTGCTGGATTATAATATATGCTACCATGCCAGGTTTTGTTGTTGTTTTGGTTCATTGTTAATGTAGATTTTGTAGATCAGCTTAGGTCCTCATGCTTGGGAAGGTCCTCATGCTGAGCCAGCTCCCCAGATCTGCTGCTGCCTACCTGGTACAGGGTTACAAGAACATGCCACTGTGCTTGGTCAGCTCATTTTACATGAGTGATGGGGACAATACTCCTTACAGGGCAAGCACATTACCAACTGAACTAACTCAGTATACAGTACTGGCTGACCTAAACTCAAAATGTAAACCAAGACATCCTCCAGTTTACAGTGATCCTCCTGCCTCTGCCTTCCCCCCAGTGCTAGGATGCATGGGTTTCCTTCCTTCCTTCCTTCCTTCCTTCCTTCCTTCCTTCCTTCCTTCCTTCCTTTTTTTTTTTTTTTTTAAGATTTTATCTATTAAGTATATAGTCTTCTGCCTGCATGTGCCCTGCAGACCAGAAGAGGGCACCAGATTTCATTCAAGGTGGTTATGAGCCACCATGTGGCTGCTGGGAATTGAACTCAGGACCTCTGGAAGAGCAGTCAGTTCTCTTAACCTCTGAGCTATCTCTTCAGCCCACTCCCTTCCTTCCTTCCTTCCTTCCTTCCTTCCTTCCTTCCTTCCTTCTTCCTTCCTTCCTTCCTTAAATAATAGTTCATAAGAGCTAAGCATAGTGGTGCACATCTGTAATCCCAGCACTTAAGAGACCACGATGGGAGGGTTACTATGAGTTTGAGGCAAACATGAGCTACATAGTGAATTACGACTAGCTTGGGCTACCTGGTAAGATCCCATCTCAAAAGTCAAAAATAAATAATTTATTGAAGTACCAAATATATACAGAAATTTACATAATTCACAAAAGAGTTCTCATGTTGTTTGCCAGATTTTCATATCAATGTAAGCAGCGCTGACATGGAGAGACAGGCCACCAGCAGCATAGCAGCTTCCTTGTACTCCTAACCAGTGTTATGACTCCTCCATCCCCTCATACCTCTCAAAGAGCAGCTTCCCCCTACACTTCCCCCCTACCACCCCCCTTCCGCCAGGCTTCAAACACATGGCTTTGTTTGGGTGCTACTCATTCCACTTTCTTGATCACCCTGTGGCGGCATCCATGTTTTAGAGCATGCTTTGGCATCAGCAGGCTGTGGTGCCTATGCACCAAATCCAGTTTACTGAGGTTTTGTTCACGTGTGTGTGTGTGTGTGTGTGTGTGTGTGTGTGTGCGTGGGCGTGTGTGTGTGGGTG